ATGACTTTAAGAGAGGTTACACTTCGACTATTGACTTGTGTTCGTGGTCTAACCGACACGAAAAATTGTTCTATGTGTAATCAACACTTTGACATGGTTTTACCGGTGGTGTTAGAGCTGTTACATATGACGGATATGGGAATATTACGGTTTATGTTTCATGCCTCGTACGAATTTTTAAATTTTTCACTGCTACTAATCTTTTCTCATGCTTACAATGCTCATCCCAGGATTATCGTTAATGCTGCTTTAAGCTAGGTTTTTTCTTGCAAGGCTGTTTGTAAACTGTCCGTATTTTTGTCGTTCCTTTCCCATGAATAAGTGGCGCTTCCCAGAGCGAGTCCCTTTATTCCTTGATCTTTCGTCCTTTCTTGTACTTTTTTTGGTTCAAGCTTTCTTTAGCCCATAGCCTTGGCGTAAGCCATAGTTATCTCCTTCTCAGGCACATTCTACCTGTTGATTTGTCCCTGACCTGAAGGGTGTCTGTTTTGTATTATTACTATTCAGTAGCGGGCCGTAGGTGCATTTGTTCTTATTTTTTTCCTTGAGTATTCGTGTCACCTGTTAAACGTCTCTCAAAGTTCACGCCTTCCTTAATCCTTAAGCTGGCTACAATACCACCAGTGCAGCTCTCAAACTTCATTTCTCCCTGGTTTAGTTTTTGTTCTTCATCTGTTTCTGACCGGTATAATTTTGAGTTATGAACAGGCTGCATTGACGTACAAGAATTATTTTGACACAGATCAGCAGTCCGTCATCTGTTTTTCAATTCAGATCATTTTCTCTTGTTTAATAACGTCGTCAGAATTGACGGGGGGGGTGCGTTTTGAATGCTTCTTAGCAGAAACAGTTAGTTAGTATTTGCCCCGGAATGTATCGACTGTCGTTGCTAAGCGTCCAACATTTCGTTTATAATGGTTCTAGTTTTTGAAAAATGATACAGTCAATTGATTGCCAAAAATTGATATATTGGGTCATTTTAAAATTTTTGTTTGATCAGTTTACGCCTGTAGTGCTGCAACATATCAGCCTTTGTTTTTCTGTCCTACTCGTTCTTTATGCGGAGATTTTTAAGGAAACTCTGTGGTGGATTATGTGTAGACTGTAGATTGTATTGGTAGATATTCTCTGGAACGTAACTTAAACATCTCAAAGATTTGTTTGAACCGGAATCTGATCAGAGTTTTCTTCTACCTCAGGTTCGTACCGCCTCAGTGTCAGCAATACAAGTAGGTCTTCAGCGAAATCTAAATCGACCTGTTTTTGTAAGCTTAGCCCGACGTTTGCGTATCCGTGTTTCTGTCGCTACGCACCGGCATCATCGGTTTGTCGGGAATTGCCAAACGACAGGGCTACGTTTGCTGATGTCGCAGGAGATGTCTTGCAGATTCATTTTCTGTGTAAATATCTACCGAAAAACTAGTTGTCATCGCAATCTGTCGTAGCAGATGTGAATAGCATAATCTTACGCTAAGCAGTGCTTGAACAACAGGACTTGAACTTACGAACGATTGATGTCCGGCTTGAAGCAAATTGGGTCGTATGTTTATCTTTTGGTCGTTAGCTATGGCAGTAGACTTTGCGTTCCTTGCTGTGCTGTTGGCGGAGACCATTTCTACGAGATGCTTTCAGCAGCTGTACCGTCTCCTGCGGAAATACAGTGTTTAAACCGTTCGAATGACTATATCCTTGAATAAGTTTCTTAATAATTTCTTTCAGCTTAAAGCTAGACGCTTACTTTCGCTGTTGTCCTGTAATCAGAATAGCTCAGTCGGTAGGGATCTGGACTAGCAATCGAAAATCACGTGTTCATACTCCAACAGTCCGTCATTTACCTTTCGTTTTTGCAAAGCAAATGAATGGATGCTGTCACGTTGGAAGGAAGCAAAAGTTTTATTTCAACATACATAGTGGCGCCTCCTGGCTATAAATCGGTTCTTCCATGAAACTAAGCACTCTCCGGATGGCACCAAGATGGGAATCAACGCCGAATTTGCAACTTCATGAAAGAACTGTACGACAGATGTTGTACTTCACGAGAATTCTAGTCATTTCGGCCTTACCTCGTCTCCGATCTCAAGTGGCGATTTTTTCAGTCTCGTTATGTCTTTCAGGTCGTTGCACCAATGGATTCACGGGAAGTTCTGAACATGTGTCATTAGTCATTGTCAGTTAAGTTTGATGCTGTTTCCGTTTTATCGCTTACGGAGAGCGCAGCTTTGTACTTTCTTACATTGTACTCGTTTTTTTCTACAAAAGTTTTTGTAAACTTCGAATTTTTGGCTCAGAATGAACGAACACTTTACCTCGAGATTATTCGTGTTTCTGTGGCCCTCCTTCCAAAAAATGGGCAACACTCGTCTATTAAAATACTTTTCGAATACTTCATTGTATGACCCAGTTTTTACCTCCTGTTCCTGCGAAAAATCTTAACGCGGTTTGGTAGAGTTTCTCATGCCGCTGCCGCACCAGGTCGTCATCAGTCTTGCTAACTGTCTACGTAAGCGAATTTCGGTGCTTCAGTCATCGCTTGCTTCCACAGTATAACTAAGTTATAGGATAAGAATTTTACTAGTTTCGTTTATATGAACCTGAGCTTTACAATTTATTAATTTATCATATTGCAGTTTGTTTTGTAACGGGATAAACGGCAGTCCTCTAGTGCTAAAGGCGGTCTCAATACTAATTTATTTATGATGTTCAGATATGAAATCACGCTAAAGGGGAACACGAAAGTTGTTTGGAAACTTCGAACATGACCATCGTATTAAGCACTGTGTGATGCGGTGTGCGGTTTTTTAGCGTGAGGCTACGCATGACTCGGTATTGATCTGAGTCTTCCAAAACTACCTCACGATTACCGTATTCAGTTGCTGTTTGACGCAGCCGTGTGAGAGACATGTTATTCGACGTGTCCGGTTTCAATCATTGGACAATGTTTGTGAGCTGACAAACAGCCGGTGGAGTAGGGCGTCGTGAGTTCTGGTGCAGCTGTTGGTGCAGAAAAGTAAACAAGTAGTCAACAAAATGTAGGCCATCCAGCAAAGGACTCCCGGTCGAATGCTAAAGGAAGACCGAGGGTCATGACTATCGACCAGCGAGCATGATGACAGCTGTTTTGTACCACTGTTGACGGAGCTGTGATATTTCGCCGAGGCCGGACGGTCAATGCCAGGGCAATAATGCAAGGAACGCACTTTTAACTGCTAATTGTCCGCTTCCGACCAGTGGGCTTAAATCATCTTCCTGCAGAACGAACGCGCGACGAATTATAACGAATTAAGCGGCATGCATCGGGCTTAAACGCTTTATCGCGAGTACATGAATTTTAAATTCACCGTTTCTTGGCAACCTGTTGCTTGCCCGCCCCGACGCGTCATCGCCCGCTGTCAGGGTATTCAGAGGCTATCTTATTATCAGGGGGAACTCGTCATCGTCTCGCTGAGTAGCGGTCGAACTGCGACATTCATTTCGTTGTCACGGCTCGCCTTGTCTCGTCCGCCCCGTATGCAGGTATCGAAATCCGGTGGTGGATGTGCAATTTGCTACGTAAAAGGGCCGAGAGACTCGGTGACACACTGATTCGCTTTAAAACGGGACTTTCTTGCTAGTTAATGCGCCCCACCCAGTACTCAGTGTTATTCGTAATCGCATGCCTCTGATCAGGAATAGCAAGGATTCGACTTTGGCTTCCGCAATGGCAGGGTGCACTGGCATCGATCTAGTAATGGAAAATGAGTTCGCTGCGACGCGTGTCATGCGTCGTTATTCTAACGCTGTCCGGAAACCAGCTGGTCATTGACGCCTGCGAGCGCGCGAACGAAACTTATACGGCCCTTTAAATGTTCTCTAATTGGCTGTCCAATGGGCTGGGCAATGGGCTGTCCCGTTCTCTCTGCTCGGCTCAAACTCTACCAGAACCGAGAACTCGTCGTCGAGAGAACCAGTTTCTCTTTCTTCGCCGAACGCCGTGTCGCTGGTGTTGCGGCGAGGGTGTGTCTTTTGTCGCAGCGGTACGCGCTATTCGCCTCAACCCGTTGTCCTCGCGCGCTCTACTCTACATCCATCACGGGCGATTTGAACCGCACGCGCAAACCGTGTAACGCCGTGTTGTCCAGGTAGAAACTTCAGTGACTAGCAAAAAGGGTTCAGACTGCCCAAGCTGGGTTGCATGCCGGTGCTCGCGGATGTCGTGAACATGTCTTCAGTATCAACGGGTCTAAATGGT